ACACACCACCACACCACCACACACACCACCACACACACACACACACACACACACACACACACACACACACACACACAACAACACACACACACATTACACGCATATATACATACACACACACATACACATTAACATTTATATATAAAAAATGTTATATGAAAAAAGACAGAAAATTATCCTTCTGAGAGCCATCACGAGGGAAGAAAAAACGAACAAACTGCCAAAACGATACACCATCATTACCACCTCAATAGTTGTACGCACACTTTGTATTTATCACATTTACAATGTAATTCATTATTGCATTAACGATATTATAAGATATCTATAGAACAGAGTCATGGACATCGACGGCGGAATTTCCTTCACCGCGAAACGTAACTAAGTATTCTACGCATTTGATGTATTCATGTTTAGCAGCTATGTCTAGTGAGTAGTAGTCGGTAGAGAGCATGTTCTATCGATGTGTTGACAGATACCACTTAACGGTATATCGTATAGAGAAACGAGGAAGAAAAGTAGGTACGTAGCATGTAGAATAGTTTTCCGTCACTGATAACTGCGCGATAGTTTTTCCGCAGCAGCGAGCAGATTCCATCGATTTGTTCGCCTGCGAACTCGCACAACGGAAACGCGCAAATAATTGAAAATAGTGCCAACGCGCGAGCCCATCGTGTACCTTCTCGACTCAATCTCGCCGTTTGTCTTTCGGGAAAATACGTCGCAGGAAGTAGAGAACAATAACTTCTCTTTCCAATTTTTGGATATAATACTTATATACTCTCTTATACGACTGATAAATGACATTTTTCGCCAATTATGTGCTGAGGAGTGAATCATCCGGCCAATATATCAAAGAAATATTAATAAGAGTAGAATAAGTGTATTAGATTGCTACCTAATACCTGGATATTGCAAAAATTATATATATGCGTACATTTAGACGGTGATTTACTCCTCGTTTTGTCCTTTCTTTTATATACACGTAATTATAATGGTATGTCTATCTGGAAGACAAACTCGTCGAGACATCGAGATCAATATTGATCACTTTCGGTACTGCGATGGGTTTTCAAAAATAAAAACACAAATAGCACAAAAAATTCTCGGACCAAGCAAGAACAAGCAAAAACATTTTTGCTCGTTATGGATTACCGTTGAGATATTAGAGACAGCGTTTCGTCACTTTTTCACAAAGATGTGGAGTCTAACCTTGTGCCCGTCGGTACCGATAATGGCATAAGATTTATGCCGTCGATATTATATACAATTTTTGAATATGTGTACATATATATATTGTATATAGGAATTACACGGACCACCGCGAATCAGTTTCTTCTATTGATGTACCAAAGAGATTGTGAGTGATCTTCTTATCTCATTGTGATTTGTATATTTAATGATTATCACAAACATTGTTCTTTTAATATAATTTGTTGTTAGAAATAAAATTTCTTATGAGTTATATAAAATTATGTTGCACATGATTTTAGCGAAATTAACGCTAGAATTATTATCAACAGTGCAGCCACTTTTTTTTTCAAGCTCACATTGACTAATTTTGTATGGACGTGGTGTTGTGTGTAATTACATAATGCATTTATCGCATGCACGTCAATCCTATAAATGTGAGAGTTTCGTTTGCTTTACTCCAATCAAATTTGCATAGCAAATGCGTTTTGACACGTCGTCGGTTAACTTTACAAAGGTCCTGTTAACAGTGCAATTCGCTAAAATGTATTTTCTCTTGAATAGCGCTTTAAATATAATATGTATAAATGACATCGCAAGAACGACATTCTAGAATTATGACATCATAATTTATCATCTTATTAGTTCTGTATATTTTTTGTTATTATTCATTGAACGCTGACAATAAATGACATGAGTTTTTGTTATAACATTGTTATTTTATGTAATAAGGTCGATTAGTCTAAAAACGCGGATTATACAATACAGTTTCGACAATAGCGATTTAATTACATGCGTAAATGCGAATCGCTGTAAACTGATTCCGGTGGTAGCGTATCCGCAGTTCTTTGTGTGGTAAATAAAAAAAAAAATCTGTGTACAGTTGTCGATATTACCTTCGTTCCGGCCGCGAGCGCGAATTCATACGCTTTTAAGACCGTAGTTGGATGCATTTCGCGGATCGTTACACGTGAAATGCAACTGTTCCTGATTTTCGCGCAAGCAGGGATATTAAAGCCGGGAGTTAATATTTCGGAGCACGAACTTCCGTACTTTTTAATATACGACTCTCTATACGAGTCGATCCTCTAGTCCCGGAAAGTTATTAATTCCGAAAAATGATATTCTCGGTATTAATCCGCGTACCTGCGCCAGTGAGGGCTCGTGAAGCGAGATGAATGTATGGGATAATGTGCGCACACAAAGATGCAGCTCGGCGAAAAGAGTGACACTCCTCGAGACAAATAGATGTTTTTACATGCGAACGAACGCTAACATTCTTTTGGCCGTTCCCCGCCCGTGTGTAATGAGTAGCTGGAAGCCACACAATTCGTACCCGCACAGTCGACAGCACGTTATCACGGGTGGGTACGCAGTTAATTATTAACTAGCTTAGGTTGCAAACATATATACTCCGTGTTTGACGCTCCGTATCGAGCGCCTCGAATTCCGATGGGTGATTGAAACCGGATATAATATTTGGGTGAGTTTATATTTTCACGTAATCCCTGATATCATCGACACTTCGAAAAATCACGATTTCATCGGTTTTGCTTCACCCCATCCAGCAAACCCAGCAATATATCGATCTTCTAGACTTTAAAAATGTATAAAATATAGATTGAAAGGCGGAGAATTTAGCGCTTTTAAGAAATCGTATTCATTAATGTAACGTATTACTGTTCGTTAGTTGATTAGGTATCTCGCAACTATTTTCGTCGATTCTATAATTCAGATCGTGATTACTCATACGTAGATTTACAATTTCAAATTCGTCGATAAAATCGAAGACTCGAGAAGAACGTTCGCGCAGATTCATCTCGAATGCAATTATTACGTATCAAATATTTTTGCAACGAGATTGATAACGAGGTGCCAAGTTATATAATTTTCACTGCCGAAATAAACGATTATATTTACTAATCAATATCAGATTTAATAATTACGTTTCTGTGCAATAATAATTTAGTCCACTATAATCGTACGCGATCGTACTATCTTTGAACTAATATTTATTA